TCCATTTTCTACTGCCTCCTACAGGACACACTCTTCTTCCACTTCCTTACACATTAATGTAACACAGAACTAATACTGCCTCTCCTGGCATTACCATTGTAACAACACATTCATTCTGTTTCTTTCAGAAGAATAACAGGAACTTAGGATGTAGGTATCTATGAATAATAACTATTATGTATACTCATATATTTATATAACCACTTATTTCTTGCGATACCACACCTTGATTTATAGATTTAATTAAAAAATACTAATAATAATATGTTGTGTTTTAATAACATTAAAACACAACATATTATTATTAGTATATTCCTGACCAGCATGAATTTTAGTTTAAGCTACAGAGTATATAAATTAAAGAGTGGTTGGGAGAAGTGACTGAATGAAACAGTACCTAAACAGGCTTTATTTCTTACCTGATGACAGAAAATTAAAAATTCTTCTTCTTAATTTATTTTACCAAGATCATCTGTAAAAACATGAAGTAAAAATTCCTTGTTGTGACAGGTGGGTGTCAACCAGGAAGTTGTTCGCGAAGGCATCATGATTCAGTTTAAGTTAAGTTGTTGTAGTTTATATATTCCACAAAACACTGATAGAAACATGAGTGTGATGTTCTACTGCAACAAAACCAGTAAATATGTGTTAATGTGATGTTTCTAGTATTGGGAAAAAGCTAAATTGCTTTATCAGTGAGCAAAAATATAAAAGACGCATATATTCTGCATATGCTCTTCATGCAGATACAATCCTTAGAGGTCACGGCAGCAGATCATCATCCCCTCCATCTAACCTTGTCCCAGCATCCTCCTCTGTCACACCACCCCTCCGAGTGTCCTCCTTGGATTCCAGCGAGAGTAGATGTGGAGTCTTCCCATGCTTCTGTTAGCGATGCTCCATCTGAATGGATGATAACAACATTCGGAACAAACTAGCAGGTGGAGATGGCCCCCTATTGGCCCATAAATATGGGGCTGATTTCTGCTAATAACGCCCATTTTATGGACTGATAACATCTGAAGCGGGTGTCATTACACCCATGAACTGCATGGCAAACTGTGGTCTTCGTCTTTTCCTCCTGCCTGGCAGCGCCATCTCCAACATCCTTTGTCCAATTTTTTCACTAATTCTTGAACATGTCTGAACTATCCCAGCCTTGCCTCTATTTCTACGACTGTCCCTGTGATAGACTCATTTCTAATCCTGTCCATGATGGTCACACCAGTGACAATATTAACCGTGTCAGCTCTGCAAGCTCACTCCACCTACATTTTGTTTCTTGTCTACACCAGAGTGGAACAGGCCTTACTTCACTTGTATGCAGAAAATATTCCTGAATCAGCTGAATTTTTCAAGCAAGACATTGCTGACCTTAACCACAGCCATGTTATCATAACCCATGCTTCTACAGTTCAGACTGGACCTCTGCACGGCCCTTTTCTGGATTGGCATGACTGGAAGCTTTGACATCAGAGCATCCAGCTGTCACTGTGTTGTGAGAGTGTGGCTTTATAATTTAATAAAGTTAATCAGAAAAATTATGATGAGCAGGAAAGCAAATTAATATGCCCGAAAAATTAGATTGTATTATAATTAAAAAACAAACGAAAAAACTTTTCCTCACTAATGATAAAGGTTGTCACAATCATCCAGAAGATCCAAACACTTAAAGAGAAAACAGGCCTGGTGTCAGTTTACGTCTCCTTGAAAAGTGAGATAACCTTCATTCCTCCTCACACAGATGGACGGCCTCTCCATTGTTGCAGAAATCCATCATGATTTTTATTTATTTTTTTATTCAGTAAATTTATGACACGAACATTTACACGGGACGGAAATTCAAAAAAACTGTCCCAATCAGCCTTAATTCACCCTACTTTTCCTGCAATAATAAATGACGCCCATGAATACATTCACCCCTAAAACGCCTCTTCAATAAACTTTACTGGCAAAGAAAAAAGAAAAAAAGTGCCCTTTTTCGTGCTTTAGAACAGCGTTTTAAGTCGGACAGATGTGGATTTATGGGACCCCGTCGCTCACTGCAGCCTTACTTGTCCATTAGTTAAGTGACAGGACAGGGCCCAGGGAAACCTGCGGCGGTACGTGTGATTACGTTAAAAGATCGCACAATCTGTTCATATTTACGTAATGAGTCGGGCATTTTGCTGATTGATTAAACTACAGGGTGTAAATATTTTAAGGGCACGCTGATTTATAATCCGACAAAGCAAAAAAAGAAAAAAAGAAAAAAGAAGAAGAAGGAGGCCAATTTATTTGTCTAACCATGAAAATGGGGGTTTCTGGTAAACCGTTCTTGACGTCTCACGGGCTGACTTGAGTGATTCAATAGACAGTGAAAGATTTTTATAGAAAGACGCGGGCTCTCTGCGCATTATTGGGGAAAAACAGAGAGAGGCAGGAGCCCGTCAGCACTTTTTGTTGCCGGAAAGTGACAGCGTTATCAGCGGTGAGTGTAATTTACGCGAGGGGGGAAATTTTTTAATCAACACGCACAGTGTATTCAGATTAAATTAGAGGAGAAACAGAATCAATGACCTCCATATATTCCTCCGCTGCCTTATCAATTAGCTGTGATTTTGTGTGTGTGTGCGCGCGCGTCCTGTGTCAGAGGGCCCTCTGTCATAAAATGGGCCAAATGGCATTCGTCATAGAGCTGACAAGTCACACAACTAAATGAGCTCCTATTGATTCGTGAGATTTTTCATCAGCCAAATTAAAAGCTGCGGTTTGATAGAGGCTCACTCTGCAGGCGTGTTACGTTCACTCCTATTAAATCAAGTCAAAGTTAAACGAAAACTTCTTTGGAGTTAAACACCGGCGAAATAAATAAATAAAAAAGCGGATTTGATGCTGCTTCAGGTTAATCATCATTTCGATCTTAACCAGATTTGTTAAAGCCCTGACCACGTGTTAAAACTCGTATCCTTGTGTGCTTCCACCTTTCTTTATTTGATCCCTTTCGTTATAAAACCTTTGATCTTCTGTGAGGTCTCTCTGAGCAGAGATTTCCGCTGTATTGCCACTAAGAAGGTCCTCATAGTTTACCACAGCCTCACCTCAGAAGCTCTGGAGGTCTTTTTTTTTCAATGAAATTGATCCTTTACTGTCACTTAAAATAAAACTTGCACAAATGGCATGAATGCTTATGTATACATAAGCACTGGGAAATATTCCCAGTGCTTATGTATTTGCACTGGGAATATTTCAGCAGAGGTCTCATAACACAGTTTTTTGAATATGTTATCAGATTTGTTTCGATAAAGTTTGATGTCAAGGTGATTCTTTGTACTTGATGTCAGCTGTAATTATTCTGTTATTTATCCTACACAAACATATACATGATTTTCATATTAAAAGTATATTTTTTAACAAGTGATGCTCTTAAGGGTCTCTTAAGTTTCTTATATATATAAGACAGAACAGCCAAGAGCCTCATAAGGGTGCTAAAAGCACTGCTAAATCACTGCCACCAGTTAAGAATGCATTTAATCACTATATAAATATGTGACCGTGGTCTGAGAGGGGGTTAAGTTTCACCACACTGCATGTCCTCCAGTCTGCTCCTTAATCACAGCCCTTACATAGGGGTCCAATAAAAAGCCTCTTGCGGTTGCACAAACTCATCATGCCGTTGCTCTTGGAAATTAAAATGGGCCTATGTGACCGCTCCCCATCAGGCTTTTGATTGCTTTACTTCCTATTCATTAGCTTAATTATTTGGCCATCAGTAAACCTCACCAAGTAATTAATATCTGAGAGCCTCTGCAGTAAATTAAAACTGTGAAATGAGGCGTACTTGTGCTTTGGTTTACTACCAGAGGCAGCAGGGATGTGAGCTAATGGGTGGGAACTGAAAAAGACGCAAACATGAACAGTGAATTGCTTTTGTAGTCAAGGAGCATTTTCACGGGAGTGAGATAAAGCTGTTTGTGTTTTTTTCCTTTCTTTTGCACAACAACTCTCAGAGTGGTTATCCAGCACTTTGGTCCAGACTGAAAAACACATCATAATTACATTCTTCTTGCTTTCTGGATTAATTTTAGTTGTGCAAATGATTCCCTGATTTTTCAGAAAGAATTCCATAGTCTCTCTCTGGGTACTCCAGCTTCTTCCCACAGTCTAGAGACTTGCTTGTTAGACTGATTATCAATAGGTCTTAGGTGTGAATGTGAGCACAACAGGTTGTCTCTCTCTCTGTGTATTAGCCCTGTGACAAAAATTGAAATTGAATTTAATAATAGAATAAATAGAAGTATATCTTATCCATCCACAGCAGCTGTTAGCAGACGTTGCTTTGCAGACTTCAGCTGGTAATTTAATCACGAGGCAGCAGGTAAGCAGCTCCTTCAACGCTCAGCATCATCCCTGTGTGAGTTCTTTTATGTATTTTAAAAAACAATTGAAATCAAATGTATTTGTATATATATATATTTGTATATATATATATATATATATATATGTATATATATATATATATATATATATATATATATATACACATTTCTATCACATCAAATGGAAATAATTCACTTCTTTTGTTGCCATTTTCTTTATTTCACATTTACACCACACAAGTTTGAGATAAATACACGTACGATTCATCCTTCAATCATTCAAATAAATTAAGTTCATTTATTTACATGTAAGTGACGACAACCAAGTCATAAATATTATTGAAAAAAAAATCTGAATATTCACATTAAATGCACAAATGGAAATGCGCTACATGGGATGTTGTGCAAAGTCTGGGAGCAAAAACATCTGGAACTGCAGCTGTTTCTGAGCCTTTGTCCGTTCTATCAATGGTCACACGGCTCGTGCGCCTCCTAAACCTCATCAAACTGTTTGAATGTGTTGCAGTTCACTCCTCTTAACATTTAATTCCTAAAAAATGTGTTCACTGAGTGGAGCTCAGGCTGTGAGTGGATGGAGGAAACACAAGTTTGCCACAGAGGACCACTGGCGCATTAAAAAAGAGCAAAATTAGGGAAAGAAAGAAGCAGTTTTTTCCAGCATGCTGCAACAATGTAAATTACTTAGTGATAATTCTATTCACAAATAGTTTAAGCACTATACACGCGTCATAATCCTGCATTTGTTTATGTGTGATTGTGTGAATGAGTCCAACAAATGTCTTGATTGGAAAAACCTTCTCAGAGCATACGAGGTGAAGATCTTTAGGTTTGTCCTCTCTCACAAACACAGACTTTCCTGTTGTGACTTCGCTGAAACACTCAGGTAATTCTCATGTGTTTTTAAAACCTTTTTCTGGGTGTGTATTCACAGTCCTGCCCCAATTTTCCTGTCACCCCCACCCACTTCCACCCCATCCAGCTCATCATCAGAGAAAGGGCTGTGGGAGCTGTAGCCAGCTTCATCGTTACGCTGCAAGAAGTCCGTGGTTTGCTGGATCCCAACTAGGTTACCCGCAGAAAGAGGAAAGCCACGCTGGGGCGCCTCCGCTACTTCTTCCTCCTCATCCTCTCCATCTTCTTCCTCTTCTCCATCCTCCAATTCGAGAGCTATCCTTCGGTCGTCCGGGTTCAAAGCTCGTCTGCTCTCACTGGATTTGTCGGAGCCTGTCTTTCCCGAGCTGCGTAGTCTCTCTGCCTCAGACTGGGTGGAGGCAGTGGCCTGCTCCTTTGCCTTCCGACTGCGCTTCCACTTCATCCTCCGATTTTGGAACCAGATCTTCACCTGCGAAGTGATCATAGTAGAAGAAGAACGCATGTTTAAAAGAAGAAACGCAACCTGGGGTTTGTCTGAACAGAAACAAAGACAAATTTAGTCACAGCTCCAGAAGCTCTCTCTTTCCTATTTCTTTTTTCTTTGTTAGATAAAAGCTGCTTTATAAATTGTTTATTCTATTTTACCTTCATTTTTAAGGTGATATGTTTCATATTGCATGTCAGTGTTGGGGAGGATAAAAAGTGTTATTTTGGGGTTCATGCTGTGGTCATCATTAACGACATCACTCTTTGTTATCACAAATTTTTTATCCCTCCTCCTCCTACCAGAGGTATTAGCATTCATAACACTGAAACAATCAGCGACAAATAAATATTAACAGAAACATAAGACATGTGAGTCTTACACACATGAATATATGAAGATAGGTAAACAATGAACACTGAAAACTGCCACAGATGATTGACAACACAACATCTGTGGACATGAGAAGCAGTTTGCTGATCAGCTAACTGCAACAAGAATGAAGATACTTTAGTAAAGTGTAACATTTAAAGCTGATCTAATAGAGTGCTGCTGGCTGTTTTCATGGTATAAAAATGGTTTGGTCTTATTTAAGGCTACAATAAAAAAAGAAAAAGGAAGATGAAATCTGTTGATTGGTTGTTTTCTTTTTATTTTCTCCCTATTTTGATATTGTGGCTCATTTAGTGTTATTAGGTGATGGGTTTCACACTCCTTTAACTCTACCGAGTTATTCTTATTAAGAAAATAAAAAATAGATATAAATGTTATAACTGTAACTAGACACATACAGTGTGCTGGCATCTGTTGAGCGCCGTGATCTGGAGATGTAAAGAGGAGCTCTGCAGTCTCTGATCTGGCTCACCTGTGTTTCGGTCAGCATGAGTGAAGTGGCCACCTCGAAGCGCTTGGGCCTGGACAGGTATTTGTTAAGCTTGAACTGGTTCTCCAGCTCCAGGAGCTGCTGGCTGGTGAAGGCGGTGCGGGGCCTCCTGCATTTCCCCAACAGGCCTGACTGAGCACCCGCTGGAAGAGGAACAGCAAAGTTATCAGTTTGTGTGCGGTCCCATGCAAGATGACTATAAGTGTATATTTTAAAAACCTAAATCACCTAAAAACAGGATGAATATGTGAATATTAATATTAATATTATAAAGTTATTTCCTAATTATTTGGATTCATTTAAGGCTCTATCCAGGAATATTTGCTCACTGGCTGCCACCACTCTTATTTATATACTGTAACATCAAGGACATCAGAAGTTCATGGTAATGTTGTGGGTGGGAACAGACGCACATATGCCGGCACTCTCCGGCCATCATTAACTATAATAGCTTTACTCCAGTTTATTGTTGACGGGGGGGACACGGCAGAAGCGGGCGCAGGGGCCATAAAAACACAGGCATGCCATTAACTTAATGAAAATTCAATGAAGGCTTTTGGGATTTTATTGATGAACTACAGAACGTTTTAGGTGTTTGTTTATAGTTTCTTCGTCACACAAAGACAGTTTTCATCGGGCTGGCGTTTATAGAGAAATAAATGGGGCAAAATTAAAATATGACAGAGACGCAGTAAAACAGGTGCCACTGTACTGTGAGGGACGATGTATGACTGCCATTAACGCGACATACAGGACTTAGATAAAAAACAAAACAACAACAACAACAAAAACAACAGAAGGCGCACAAAGCAAAGCTAACCGAAGGCTTTAAATTACGCTGCCAGTGAAATGTATTTATGAATAATAAATAAACAAATCAAAATGCTGCCCGTTTCTTTCTCAGATTATTATTAAATATTAAGGTTTTTAAATGTAATAAAACTTTGGAGAATAGAAAAAAATCTATGTCAGAATCGTTAGTCCGGTTTATGATTTAAACAATAAATCTGTGCTGTGTGCTTGATATCATGAAAAAATAAGCAAACATAAAACCCCCGAAATGACAACTATTTAGTTATTAATTAAGCATGATAATAATAATAATAATAATAATAATAATAATAATAATAATAACAACAATAATAATAATAATAATAATAATAATAATAATAATAAGATTAACTTGACCAGTTCCGCCTAAATTCTTTCTCTTTTAGTGTAACACACAGCTGTCTGAAAATAAAATAAATTAACAGATAAATTCTCCTGTGAAATTAATTTATTTTTATTTATATATGTATTTATTTTAAAGTTAGATTATTCTGGACCTCTGCTTATCTAATGTCATCACACTTACAGCTGTAATCCGGCAGTCGTGGCACCATGAGCCCAGCGCGGATCCAGTGCTCCAGGGGCAGAGATCCAGCCATGGTAGCCACCTTCAGGTGCTCTGGGTAGGTCTGCGATAGGTGCGTGAAGCCAGTGTAGGCGAACGCAGGGTGTTGTCCACCCAACGCCGACAGTGGGTACATGGGTGCAGGATACATGCCGGGAATCGCTCCCTGAGGCAGCGATGCAAGCCCCGGATGGGGCAGATTGAGGACACTCTGCTTAGGGATTATTCCGGTCTGAAGGTGCGCTCCTCGCGGGGACGGAGTGTCCCCACGGCGGCATGAGACCGGGCTGCCGGCCGGGCTGTCACTGCTCAGACCGGGTGAGAGGTCTCGACCACACCGATTGGTCTCATCGGCGAGAAGAGCGTCGATTCGAAAGTTTTTCGATTTCTCCATGATGGCTTCAGCAGCAGCAGAGAGAGAGCGAGAGAGAGCGGGAGGAGTCTTTAGAAAAAACAAGTCGAGCTCTCTCCAGGTGCGCACATGTGCCGTGCTCTTCAGTCACAAAATCATAAGCTCTCCTTTCCCCCTTTTATAAAGAAAAATAACCCGAAACCTGTATATTCGTTTAAAAAACACATTGGCAGGTTTTTCCCTCGTTGTACTTGTTTCAGCTAAATGCCACTCTAACTGACACCCGCGTGTGCGCGCGTGCACCGGTTTCTTTAAATTGCGCCTTTATGTCAGTCCGCACCATCGAGTCTCTTGGAAAACTAACCCACAGAGGTATGTTTCCCTCTACATCAGCCGTCCTTCTCCACCCCTGAAGGCCTCTGCCAGCTGGGGATTGGCTGGAGCTCGAGCTGCTCTGACGGGCCTCTAATCAGCTAATTACTCGCTCGTTTCTCCCCCCAGAAAGCATTCAGAGTGAGGTAATGTCCAACCCTTGTCCCGCCTGCAAACACCTTCAACTGCATCAAAGCACCGAAGTACATTAGAAGATTGGGCAATTGTATTTTCAGTATCTATCTTACTGCAAGCTCATCGTACTCTCCACAGATTGCGGCTACCTGGCTGCCATAAACAAAGAATTATACGCTGCTTTCATTGTCCAGACTAATTATTAGTGCTGCTAATATCCTCCACACCTTAGAGCCAAATACTGGCCTGTTTTCAACACTAATGTTATTGGTTACCTCTGATTGGTGTGACGTTAGAGACGTTGTGTACGGTATTTAAATCATTAGTATTAATGGTTTGTTTCATTCCTATACCAAGGCCATACCGATGCTATTAAAGTTTACGATCAGGAATTGCACACAAACCGTATAAAAGTGTAATGACTTGGCAGAAGAGGCTATAAGTTAATTGGCCCTCTGCTTAATGTGAACTAATGCAGTTTTAAGACTGGAGAAAGGCGGCGTACATCCGTCTCTCTTCGTCTCTCAGACATGGTACCACAACATCGATAGAGATACAGTTTATCAAAAATTATAAGTCACAGAATAATAAGTGGAATCTGCATGTTGCTGCACCAGAAGGAAAACTCCATTTTTTGATAATGCGACATTACAGATCTCTATCCAACCCAACAATAACTATAAATAATGTGATTTTTTCCTGTGCAGTTGTGGCTTGTGTAATACTAACAATCTAATATTTATATTTATTTGTTTTATGTGTTCCCAAGAATATGTTTTAGGCTCTAACACCTTCACTAACAAATAGTCATCTTTTCCTCACGTCACAATATTACATTTTCCACATAAAAGCACACGTGGGCCTTTGTGTGCTTCGTTCTGCTGATGTGAACAAAAACGCCACCTGTTTGAGGACACCCCCTTCTTAAATCTGTAAAATTGTGCGCACACGTGTGTATGTGCGGTGCAGTTGACCTCCAGGAAATTGCTAGTCCGCCCATTTCTCACTCTCTCTTTCTCCTTTACCGTGTTACTGCGGTGTCTCTCATCCTCAGCTCTCTCCCTCTCTCTATCAGGCAGATTGGTGTCTGTCTCCGGGGCTGATATAGAGGTAATTTGCTCCTGGGTAATCAGTGCTACCTTCTGCCTGTTTCTCGCAACCTCTCCCCTCTTTTCTTTTGCCTTTATTATTTGAAAGTATTTAAATAGCCAGGCCACTGCTAAACCTGTCACTTGAGTCTGCCAACAGAGGTCCACGAATTAAATTAAATCAGCGCCTGCTTCCAGTGTCTGGTGCATTCTTCTGACAATGGATGGTCTTTTCCTCCTAAAAGATGAAATTTTGCTGCTATATGTACATGCTAATCCTAAATAAGTTAATAATTGAATATAACAGCTGGATCAGAAGCTTTAAGAACTTATAATACAAATCTTATTAATGAAGAGAAGACTGATTAATATAAATGTCTACAGACAGAACAGGTGGAGCTGGTGTAATTGAGATGGGGTCTAAAGAGCTTTAATAGTTTAGAAGAAGAAGCTGTTGAGGTTAGCTCAGCAATTTCTTAAGTGCCTGTTTGATGATATAAATTTGAATGTTGTTGGAGAGAATGCTATGATTTTTATTTTTTATTTTTGCAAGATGCTCATGAATTTAATAGTAGAATAAATCAAAAGAAACTCTAGTGATTCATTGAGGTTTCCAGGCATTTGTTCATACGCAGCCCTCTTAAGGTTCCCGCCACAGGGTTTCAATCAGGTCGAGGTCTTTGGCCCGGACTTTGATCAGGCCATTACAAAACTTGGATTCTTTTCTTTTTTGGGCAATCTGTTGTAGATTTGCTGCTGTGGCTCATGGCTTCAAAATAAGCCCCAATCGTCATCCCTCCACCTCCGTGTTAGACGGTTGTATGAGGTAATTTGTGTTCACCAAATATACTACTTTGAATAATAGCCTAACATCTTCATTTTGTTCTTGTCTGTCCAAAGGACATTGTTCCAGAAGTCATGTGGTTTGTTCATGTGCAACTTTGCTAACTGAGGTTTGTAGAGTTTGAAATGTAGCTCTTGGGTTTCTTGCAATTTCGAGCACTGATTTCAAGCACAAATTCTTGGTTGCAGATTTTACCATCTAGCTTACAGTGCTGAATATAGTCACATGGCTTCTTGTAAAGCTGATGACTTCTTCTTATTTGTTTACTTTGAAACTATAAACAGCAGATATAGTAATGCGATCTGTCTTGTGATTAGTTATGGGCAAACCTCTCAGAGGTCAAAACTAGGTAAAATGCAGGACAATGGGAATAGCATGATAGCTTAATTACACTGTTGTTAAAAATGAGTCAGTAAGAGCAAACATTACTCCAGGCTGCAGTTTGCAGGTGAAATATCTGACAGCAGGTGTAGCTGAAAGTGTCTTATTTTAATGTGGTGGAAGGCTTAATAATAAATGTTTTCAGATCTAAACTATCATTACTTCCTTTCCCTTCTTTCCTTGTGACACATGTCCTCACATGCACATGCCCCCTTGAACCTTTAGTGAAACTCTCCAAAAGCAGTGCACACCCTTCTCTCTGTGAGAGGACAATTGGTTCAAAGGAGCCGCGAGCCCTTGACTACAAAGCCAGAGTTTATCGACGAGTTATGCGTCAGTAAACCTAGCGGCTAACAGGAGTTTACTGAAACATTAAAGAGCTTATCAGCAATTACAGGCATATTTTTCAATCATTACCACAGCTCTGAGACAGCTCACCCTGTCCTTAAACTAAGTCAGGTGTGCTCTTGTTCTATCTGCATGCTGGACCAGTCATTATGTTTTTCACCTCCACTGGGTCAGTGATTCTTGGCGGTTTGAGGTATTGATAAGATCTTTCCTGCTGCTGATAGAGCAGAAAGTTCAGGCGCTTCTATAGTTCGTCAGAACAACACAGAACATGGAAAAACATCAACAAAGCAATGTAACGGACATTGAAAGATATATTTTCTTTGATTCGCTGTCATTGATACAATACCTAGGCACTGTGATTAATCCTAATCCAGTTTACTTTGATTGTGTGTGCACATTCCTGGATCTGCCCTCTCTTCAGGCATGTTGTGACACACAAAGGTTTCAGGGACGCTGTTGACCAACACCACCTTTCCCACCAGGCCTGGAGTACAACGACCAGACTGCTGCTGTGATAAATGGTTGTGGTGCACAATGGGCTTACTGTGAAGTGAAAATCAGCTCTCCATAGCTCTGGTAATTAGACTAATTCCCACAGCGTTAAAGACAGATGATAAATCAACTCACTTTTCTGCCAGACCTTGAGACCAAAATTAATGTTGTCTCATTAAGGAGATAAAAGTAATTTATTACTTTTACTTCTCCTCCTTGTCTCTGTATCCTGTCCCCCTTCATTTATTAACCAATATTGAGCTTTTCCATATGACATCTAGCCTGGTGGATGTGAATCTTTCGTTGTCTGTCTTTGCTACTTTGGCCCCTTCGCTCTCCTCTCGCTCTCTCTCTCGCTTTCATTGTGCATTAGCATGTTTATGAGCGTCTAGCAGAGAGATAACACAGGTGTTTGCCAAAGCTCGAATGCACTGCAATGATAAAAAAAACTTTGAACTTTTGGATGTTTCTGTGTGAAAGCTTTGTTTTTATGCAAACTAGTGTACACTTTATATACCATTAAGACAAGAGTAAAAGAAGCCAAATGAAAAGACGATCTCATCCTCGGCTGGTACAGAAGGTGCAAACTGACCGTAACTGGAAAGTTAGCAGGGCGAGTGTGTGTGAGGTACTTCCTGCTCGGGAAACCAGGAAATTTCCCCAATTCTGCAAATGTTTGACAACCAAAAGGCTTACAATAACCTAAACCTCTTGAAATGGTAACCAATTCAAGTATTTTCTTTATTAATTTATACAATATAAAGTCTTTATTATCAAGCTAGGTTTGCTGTTAGCCAAATTTACATTACTCATGTTGGTTTGCTAGCCAAACTCCTGACCAGTGTTGGTCAAGTTACTTGAAAAAAGTAATCAGTAACTAATTACTGATTACTTCCACAAAAAGTAATCCCGTTACTTTACTGATTACTTATTTTCAAAAGTAATTAATTACTTAGTTACTTAGTTACTTTTTAAAAACACGATTTACAACCTGAAGAGGTGATAAAGCGATAGATCTTTCAGCCCAATTCTACTTTTTCTGCATAATCCATCATACAAAATGTAATCAAATGGAAAAGTCTCTTTTTTTTTAAACTTGTTTTTATCAGTTTTAATCTTTTAACTTTATGCATGAAGCAAAAAATGTAATTATATGCAACATTCTCTGACTTGAATAAATTAGTTTAACATTTAAACCTATTTTCTGCACATTCCAGCACATCAAATAAAATATTTTTTGTGTTTACACTCAGTCTTTCAAATAGATGCAAGTAAAACACAGCAGAAAATAAATAAAGTCAAAGACTCAGCGGTCCTGTTGCTCTATTTTCACCTGTAAAGCAGGAGCAGGTAGGCGGAGGTTTACCCTGGTGCAGGTGTGCCGCAGTCAGTTGAAGAATCCGCGAGTTTCTCTGTGAATCTCCCATTGTCTTTGCGCACTTGGTGCTTGTTTAGGGTTTTTTTTCGCTGTAAAAAGAAGTTTTCTTCCCACGCACAACGGACACTAATGTTTTTGTCACTTTTTATGGAATCAAACTCAAAATAAGGTCAATACTTCCACGCTTTAAACGCTGCACGCTAATACTCTCTCCCACAATTGATATGTGATCCATTGTTGATCTGCACACAGCTGTTGTCACTAACGGCGCACTCGCTTACGTCACTGTCATGAGACATTCTCGCAAAAAAATCACGGTTTTAGTAACGCAGTAACGCAGCGTTCCTACAGGAAAGAAACGGTAATCTAATTACCGTTTTTGCAATAGTAATCCCTTACTTTACTAATTACTTGAAAAAAGTAATCA